TCGATATGAAAGACCAACAACAACAACAAAAAACAACAATGGAGAGTGACTATGGAAATACCTGTAGAAAAGAGAAAGAACTCTTTCTAAAACCTGCAAATAGAATGACTCTGGCAAAAGAAAGCAAAAGGTAGTACCAATGCTAATATGTCCCAAAACATCTGAAGCACCACCTGAATACCATTAGCATTGACAAAATCACCCTAGGTCAATTGCAAAAGTCAGCTTCACTTGTACCAATTTAACCCTCTCCACTTAGCAAAAATAAATAAATAAATAATCTGCTTATCCCAACTCCTTGGGAAGGATTCAATAGGTGGACAAAATCCAGTCTAAGCATTTTACCAATCATAATTTCTTAAATTTATATGCCACCCGATTCTCAGGACTCTCAACAGTTGACAAATACAAAATACAAAAACATTTTAAAACAAGAAAAAAATAGATAGCCTGGATAAGGAACATGACATTTAATAAACTTTCATGTAAAACATGAAAAAAAGTCTTTAAAATGTATTCAATATGCTGAAAATTCTGTGCCTAGACAATATAGAAGAGGAGGAGGAAGAAGAGGAGATCCAGGCCTTTCTGACTCTTGGCAATTCTATGGGCCATGTCTCTCCACATCTTCCGATCCTGCACTACTTGAGTTGTTCTAACATTAAAAATGCAAATACTACTGTGTTTCTGCGAAAATAAGACAGGGTCTTATTTTCTTTTGACACACCCCCCCCCAAAAAATAAACACTTGGCCTTATTTTTGGGGAAGTCTTAATTTTGAGGTGGAGGCGTCGGGCGGGATTACCTCATGGCTGCTGTTGTGTTGCAATATTTTCAGGGGAGGGCTTATTTTTGCACATGCACTCAAAAGCCTGATTGGACTTATTATCCGAAGAGGTCTTATTTTGGGGAAAACAAGGTACCAACAGATATCACTATGAACAGACCATCGGTATTCATAGGAAGAACATACATTTAAGTAATATGAAAATGGAAATGAAATCCAATTGCAGACTCAAAATTAATAGTGATTATAATAGAGAACTGTCTGCCTTTCCCTCTGCAGGTTTCAAACATTCTCAACCACCAGGCTGTGTTGGGCAAGAGAAACAAAATTCTAATACCAGAACTGAAGAAACTTCTTGGATGAGAAGTGAAATGTCTTCAAGGAAAAACAAAAAGTCCAGTTGCCTTTCGGAAAAGCATCTTTGGGACAACCAGGACGTAGGTGACTGAGATTCTCCATAGACAAACAAAATCCTACTACCTGAGCAAAAATCTATTTGCAGAGTTGGGTTTTATCCCAACTGCTTTTAATAAGGAAATCTTCAAACCAAACTACACACTTAATTCATATAAAATTTGATTTGATTCCGTAAGGTACACTTTTGAGTATACAATTAAAAAGATTAAGCTTCTTGGGAGGGGGGGGGGAGGGTTGTATCCAAACAAAACTGAAGAGACTTCTAGCCCTTAAGTTGCTTTCTCTTTAAAGAGCCTTTAAATGGCACCATTTCCTTCCATTTGTTCTACACATGCTAACCCACTTCTTTGTGTTCTAAGAAATCCTTCAAAGTTCCATATTCTATACAAAAAATCATCCTAAAGTTATTACCCACCCTAAATATATATTTATAATTTATTACAATCACTCTTCCAAGACATATCCAATTTTAATGCACGATGTTTTCTTATCCATTTAGCAGCCCTGCCTGTTTCTCTAAATATGGGTGTGAACACTGCCAAAATACCATATTTCCATGAGAGCATCAACTACCATTTTTTGCCTTAAATCAGGCAACAACAGTCATGGAAGATAAAAATGCATGTATATCCAGTTCTCTACATCTGTAGTTTCTAAAATGACATGCCTATTTCCCAGAGGTGTGCAAAATTATGTATTGAAATTCAGGAAGAAACTATCTCTTTGCATTTATTATTATCCCAAAATAGGAAATTAATCTATTCTAAGAGTATACAAAAATATATTGAGGGTCTGTTTTATAATGTACATATTGATCTGAAATACACAGATATCATTTAAAAATCAATAAACATACGTATATTGGGAGGGCATGATAAAAAATATTTTATTGGTAAGGATACAGAATAAAAGCATGGAGACCATTTTTCTAGATTATCACTTGTATTTCAAACTCACTTTTAAGAAACATGTTTCAAATGAAATAATTTTTATAGTAGAACAATGAAGAATGAAGTCATTTGTTCATCAACAGAAAACTGAGTGGATTTTGCATAAAAGCTTACTGAATTTCAAAATATCGTCAAGATACCAAACTTGAGTCTTTAATCAAGTGATTACATCCCAGAGAAAGTTTGTCACTATTATGTTTAAAGGTAAAAAAACAGAGCACAAATGCTTCAAACTCATTATTATTATATACCTGAGAATGATTGGATCTCTTAATCTTTAAAAAACAAACAAAGCAGCCATGTGAAAATGTGTTCTCAGCATACATCACCACAGAACATGCTAGGCATAAAAGTATTTAAGAGAAAGAAATAGCTGCACAGTTGCAAGTAAAGCCAAGAAAATTCATATCCCCCCCCCAAGAATAAGATGGAAAATACTGTTTTGTTGGCATAACTGAACAACTGGATACTAGAGTTACTCTAATTAAACAGTGCCTCACAATTACTTGTTTACTAGAAAAATCCTTTCCATAATTCCCCCCACAAAATGAGACACATACAATGAAGAATTTTTACATTTCATAAATGTTCACATTCGTATTTTCAAATTATCTGTACAGCCTTGTACAATTCTTCAAACACATGCCAACTTCATGTCAACTGTAGGTAGATTACTACCAGAAATTATAATTTTTTTAATGTTGCTAATACAAGACAGAAAACATCGAGACCATGAAAGATAATACTTAAATAATTCTATAATTCTAATCCTAAAACATTATTTCCCAAACTCAAAAGCTTGTGCCCCAAATTGCTAAAGTAATTTGATTATAAGTATTTATTGATTCCATTTTTATTTTCTTGTAACACTGTAAACAAATATTTCAAGATTCGGAAGCTTGATAGTAATAGCAGTTGAGAATTGCAAACTAAGGGAAAAATAGATAACTTTTTAAATAAAAGAAAATAATAATAAAGATATGTGTGGTCTTGCACCACGCATTTTACAATATCCAGAACACTACAAATTTTGCTGCTGGTTCACTGACGTACAACTGCCAATTTTCAGTGGGACAATTTCTCCAATTATTGTTTTGTTAAAAAAAGGGGGAGGGGGAATCATCCTTTAACCTTCCACCAACATTTGTCCCATTCTTGTTGGTCGCTGCGATTTTCAGAGTCCTCCTAATGAACCTGCAAAATGGATGTGAACCCCTGGCAATCATTTAAGAATACCCATAACTAAATAACAAGCAGAGTGAACCCCTTGCCTATCCACTCCNAAAAAAAGGATTAAATGCTCACATATTGTATTCATTGTCATACCTTCACTGAAAGAAATAGACCTGTCAGATCTACGTTATTTCAGAAGGGATTGATTTGCACTTTTCTTCCTGCAAAGTACATTCATTTACTGACCCTATAAAAATCTCTTCTAAAATGGGCCAATAAAAAGCCTGGAACTGCTTTTACATATCTTTGGCTGTCATCCCACCCATCAAAACTGATGCAAATTACATTACTTTCAGCCATTTATGGAAGGGCAAGAAAATCATTTTGCAAATAATGTTAAATCAGTACAGAAAAATCAGTTCCTTCTAGACAAACACCAGTTCCCTCAATTTGCCATTTACCATAACTAGTAAATACGATGCGGATACCTTCCATTCAGCCATTAGTTTCAGGATTAGGTAGTGTTCAAATTTGGAGAGGCTCTGAAATGCCATAAAGTATCAGAAGAAAGCTATATTTAAGCAAGCAAATATACACACGCGAAGAGTCACAAGTTCTTAGTGTGAATTGTTTCCTCATTTCCCCTCATGATCCTCTTCAGATCGACACTTCACTGTAATTGCATTTTCAGGAGCGAAAAAGAGAATGGGCAGAGAGGCAGAAGGAAGCAGAAAGTCTTCCCAACAAATTTGCTTGGAGACACTAAGTAGCCTTTTTTGTTTAGCATGTGAAATGCTAAATGTACAGTGTAGATACACATGTGAAATGTACCTTGTAAGTATAGGACTATTGTGTTATTTCTGCTACTCCTTAAATTGCATTCATGATCACTGAAAAGCTTAAATTTAGCTCACCACTGCCCTCTCGTGGAATGAAGTGCTTCCTTCCCACACAAAGGCCAGAAGGAAACTGTAGCAGCAAACACAGTAGTTTTTTGTCATGTGAATGCTAACATGAGTGCAGCACTCCTTCATAGAATAGGGTAGGGTAGGGTAGGGTAGAATCAAAATCAAAATCAGAATCAGAATCAGAATAGAATAGAATAGAATTCTTTATTGGCCAAGTGTGATTCGACACACAAGGAATTTGTCTTTGGTGCATAAGCTCTCAGTGTAAATAAAAGCTATAAGTGATAAATCATGATCATAGTCATCATAAAAGTACATTCATCATAAGTCATAAGATACAACACTTAGTGATAGTAATAGGATACCAACAGTCAGTCATGAGCTACCAATAGACCACCTGTTCCACAAAAATCTTATTTTGTAAAGAGGACGGGTGAGGTAATATGATCAAGAATGCATCACAGTGATTCTGGACAAAGGCAGGAGAGCCTGAAAGGACAGGTAGTCCTCAACTTAAAACTGTTCATTTAGTGACCTTTTGAGGTTACAGCGGCAGTGAAAGTGACTTATGATCATTTTTTCAAACTTATGACCATTGCAGCATCCCTGTGATCATGTGACTTACATTCAGATGCTTGACAACTGACACATATTTACGATGGTGGCAGGGGCCATGTTGATCCCCCTCTTGCAACCTTCTGAAAAGCAAAGTCAATGGGGAAGCCAGATTCACTTAATAACCACGTTACCAANGATAATTAAACTCAAACCTTTCCAAGTTCATTTGTTTGCTTGCAGAAAACATGGAATTAAAATGGAGATTGAGAGATAAACTGCTTTTTGTTTTTTTTGCAAAAACCTGGTATTTGTTGAATTGCTCTCCTTCCAAGAACTCAGCTGAAAAATGACTTAACTGCCTGGAGACCAAGTAAAGCCTCACAACTAGTCATTTCAAAGACAATTTTTATTCCTTCACTGACTTTTCTCCATCTTATTTTTTGAACTGTAGTAAACAAGTCTCCGCAGAGTGAACTATTATAGATGGGTTGTTGTATGTTTATGATATTTTGATGGATTAAGAAGAGAGACAGTTTCTCAAGGACTGTTCTCCTCTTAAACTGACCAGAGAGTTTAAAGAGATTTCATTTGCTCAATTAATGTGTAAATATGCACCTGCAGCACAGGAGGGACGTCTGCAAAGCAATTCTATTAAATCCTTAATACACAAATCTGGTGATTATTTCTCAAACAGAATACAGCCATCAACACACTCGCAGAGAGACAGACACCCGTTTTTCCATTCGTCCTTCCTTAATGTGGAGGGTAAGATGTTCCCTGACCACCGAGAGTGTGACAGGCAGTCAAAGCAGAAGGGAAACAGCTTTACTTTTTTTGAGGGGGGGGGGCAGGAGGTGCATTTGTGGAAATACAGGCTTTCTGCTTTCCGGATTCATTTGTACGGATTCATTTCTTAGGCCACTCAGAACAAACTTTTTTTTGAGATTCTGCTCTGACCACGTCATTGGGTGTCATTTGCTTCCGCAAGGACCCCATGGGGCAATCTTCCCACTAGAGATTCAGGCCTTTTGGAGAAACAGCAGGTAAAGAGGATGGGACGCTTCCGTTGCCTTTCAAGTAATCTTGAGGGGAGACTTCTTGTGAGCACAGAGGAGAGTGACGTAGGGCACCCCAATGAATGCCCACTTCTCACTGGGCCAGAACTTGATGACGGGGCCTTGTTCGGGGATCTCAGAGACAGCATCAAAATAGGCAAAGCAGACACAGCCCAGGTAAGCTGCAATACAGATGAGGATGTGCCTGGAAAAGAGAGAAGCGAAAGGACTGAGGTTTTGCTTCAGTTTCAGGTCTTAGAAGACTGAATAATAGAGTTCGAAGGGACCTCAGAGATCATCTAGTCCAACCCCCTGCTAGAGCAGGAGACCCTGTATCAGGGGTATCAAACTAGATTTCTTCAAGGGCCGGATTAGCATTGTAGTTCTTCTCCACGGGCCAGCCAGCTTGGAGGGTGGGAGACGGGGGGACGGGGCAGCCTCCTGCAACTCCTGTAACTGTTCTTTGTATGCTTCAGCTTCCAGCCCCCTTATCTTTTTTGTTGCTCCTCTCTGCATTGTTTCACAAGGAGGGGCAACACTTAAGGTCAGTGGAAGTAGCAAACGTACACACTTTTGCAGGGAAAAGAAACAACGAACCTTCCTCAAGAAATGGGGAGCTTTTGCAAAAGTTTTATTTTTATACTACTCACGTAGCAACGCAGAAAGCGTTCAGTAGCTGCTCTGCCATCTGTTGCACCCTGGAAACAGGGCATAAAACAGACCATGTGCATTGTTGTGAATGCAAGCTTGGATCCCAGGGCTCAACTTGAGGATACTGAGAACCCCCAAGGGGAGTTGTTAACACTTTTATATGTGCATCGGCAATTTTTTCCTCTCTGGAAAGAAGGCAAATTAACTTCCTTTCTCAAAGATGCTAATTTGAGATCTCACAATATGAATCAGCTGCTTTTCTGAGTATTGGGTCTCTGTCCTATGAGAAATAGGGTTCAAATCAGGATTTGAAGTGTAAATGGAGGTAATCCTTGGTTTGTGGGCTACCTGGAACCACTGGACTATTTTTAATGATTCCAAAGATCTTTGGACTTTGAAATTTGATAATAAAAATAGGAGACATTGACTGTAGCTGGAGAATAATGGTTTAAACCAGAGGTATCTAATCTTGAAAACTCTGAGACCTGTGGAATGACGCCCAGAATTCCCCTGTCAGCATAGCTGGTTGTGGAATTCTGGGAGTTGAAGTCCACAGATCTCAAAGTTGTCAAGATAGGACAGTCCTGGTTTAAACTTTAGAACATACTTCCTGTATTGTTCTCTCAATATTCCACCCCTAGCTACGGCATCCCTGCAAAATCTCAGAAAAATCTTTGCCTATTATGCAATTCCTCTGCTGTCTTGTGTCATTGTTTTGTCTACTGAAATTTGTAGCACCTCCACCCAAAAATATCAGCCTCCAGTAATGGAAGGAGGCCCAGCTATTTTCTTATTTGTGTGAATCTTAACACACCCTGATATGTCACTGTCAAAACTCAAACGAGGGAGTAAAATATATTTTTCTACCAGAATTTATTTTGTTAGTGCTGTTTAACTTGACTGACTCATGGATCAAAATAATCACCCAAAACTACCTTACGCAAGGTCTGATTTTAATATGAAACACACTAAGAAACTGTGCCGCTATTGCATTGAAAACGGGTACACACCAGCAAAGGGAAATACTTAATAAAGGAGAATAAAATTAGGACTCACCATACGCAGTGTAAATAAGGAAAATTAACAGATGACCAAATCTCGCAAAATGCTTTGTCACTAATCCAACAAAATAGTGCCAACATCCACCACAAGCCAGAAAAGAGTCCCAATTTATACACTCGGACATTGTCACACCTAGAAGGAAAAGTGATAACTGGGAGTTACATTGGCAATAGTGTAAATGAATAAAACTGGTGGAAGTTTAAATCAAGTCAAGTCAACCTGGGTTATGAATCAAAATACATATTTTGGTGAAATCTGTTGAATTACTGATTTGCACAAGTGAAATATCAAATGAAAGATAGGAATATCTACAGGCTAGGGTCCAAAAAAATCAAGATGGACTGATTGAAGCTCTGCCCAAAAACCACACACAATGTAGCCACTACCTTTTGGGACCAGAGCTGACTGAAGCATGCAAGCAACAAAATTCCAATTATAAGCGATGTCATAGCATTTGATCTTACTAGACTTGAATTCCTCTACCCAAAAAAGGTAAATTTGAAGAGTTTTGCTTCCCCTTGGACCAATATATTATCACCCAAGGCAGGGCTGTCAAACCCACGGTCCGCAGGCTGGATGCGCCATGTACTGGCCACGGCCACACCCAGTTTAGTGAAGGGGGGAAAAGTCATGATACATTACGTGACGATGCCATGACCTAAGGATATTTATTACTGCAAAAACACTTTGGGAGGAAGATGATTTTTGCTTAATGAGAAGAAAATCTAACATCTATCAGATTTCTTCCATGAGTTCAATTTTGTATATACATGGTTTATATTAATTACTAGCTGATAATCCAGAGTTGGCTGGATATTTATTTATAGGAGGAAATGTCCAGACCAAACATGTTGGATTTTCACCCTTACAAGAGGGAGCCCTCTTGTGGAGTACTGTGAAGCTGTTACCATGGCAACTCCACTGCACTGTACAGTAGAAGCTATTTTACAGCAGTATAGTAGAAGCCATTTTAAAGCACAACAGGCTGTATCTTAACAGAACACACACACNGTCCCATTCTTGTTGGTCGCTGCGATTTTCAAAGTCCTCCCAATGAACCTGCAAAATGGATGTGAACCCCTGGCAATCATTTAAGAATACCCATAACTAAATAACAAGCAGAGTGAACCCCTTGCCTATCCACTCCTATAACAACCTAAAGGCCTCAAATAGCTGTCTCAAATCACTCAGAACTCAGAGCTTGGCCCAACTCAGACAACTCAAAATTTCATGGGATTAAGGTCTGTGCTGGTAATCAGCTGGCAAGAAATGGGGAGGAACTGGCAAAGTACAACTGTATCATTGCTGTGCTGGTGATTTCATCTACAACTCATTTTGCCACCGGTTGGCCAATGAAATGTGCCTCAAGCCACAGGGGGAAACTTCTATTGATATTCACTAAAGTAGATTGCCCCAGCTTTGAAAAATACAGATGTCTTCCATTCTTCAACTGCAGGAACCAAACACTGTAACTCAAAGGGGGAGCACTGAATTATCTTGTCCTAAAACGAGGCACCAGGCCGTGCTGACAGAGCCTTACGGCACTCACTCACAAACAGGCATGGAACTAGGCCGGTCCACAGTGATAAAGCTGTCTCAATCAACTCACTTTGGAAAAGTTCCACACGGCCAATGGCCCCCAAATGGGAAAATTGACCCCATATGCAACATTTCTGGCAATGCATCAAGGAACTGAGCAGTCACAGCCAAATGGAATAGAAAGGAACAAAGCGCCCAATTCAATTCCACAATCAAGCATAGATATTTACCCAGATTGGTGCATCAGCAATTGAGAAACATTGGTTGCAAGAAGTGTGCCCTCACCCACCCCCATTTACAACTATATCTTGGCTTTGTATCCAGGGATAGAAACGCCTGTTTTTGTTTTTGCGTATGCTTGAAAACAAACCAAGCTATTTTTAGCATGTATTTTCCTTTTCCATCCAATCTACTAAACCGTGGCTGATTATTTATCGGGCATCTCATCTATTTAAATACAAAAAAAGAGAGGGTTCTTTAAAAAGTGACATTAAAAGCTCCAAATTCATCGGACTCACTGCAGGATCATCTACAGGGTGAGTCAAAAATAAAATAAAACAGTGAGTGTATACAATTGAAGCCCCCTTTTTTTCCTCCTGCCTCACAAAAAAAAGAGGGGGTTGAACTTTTAATCACATAGCCACAGGCACAATTTTGATTTCATGGATTCCCTGACATGTATTTTAACAAAGGTTCAAATATTTCAGAATCTAGGGAACACCCAACTGCACAGTTTAAGCAGCTTTCAAATACCTGTACAAGCCAAAGCACTGATTCTTCACTGCCCTTGAAATTTAGTTACATCTGCTTAAAAATGGAAGTGAATAATGAGGATGGATTGCCCTCTATGTAACTAACTCCTAAAAGTGTGTCATGGTAACAAGAGGCAAAAAAAAAACAAAAAAAAAACAGACTGATAATTAAACTCAAACCTTTCCAAGTTCATTTGTTTGCTTGCAGAAAACATGGAATTAAAATGGAGATTGAGAGATAAACTGCTTTTTGTTTTTTTTGCAAAAACCTGGTATTTGTTGAATTGCTCTCCTTCCAAGAACTCAGCTGAAAAATGACTTAACTGCCTGGAGACCAAGTAAAGCCTCACAACTAGTCATTTCAAAGACAATTTTTATTCCTTCACTGACTTTTCTCCATCTTATTTTTTGAACTGTAGTAAACAAGTCTCCGCAGAGTGAACTATTATAGATGGGTTGTTGTATGTTTATGATATTTTGATGGATTAAGAAGAGAGACAGTTTCTCAAGGACTGTTCTCCTCTTAAACTGACCAGAGAGTTTAAAGAGATTTCATTTGCTCAATTAATGTGTAAATATGCACCTGCAGCACAGGAGGGACGTCTGCAAAGCAATTCTATTAAATCCTTAATACACAAATCTGGTGATTATTTCTCAAACAGAATACAGCCATCAACACACTCGCAGAGAGACAGACACCCGTTTTTCCATTCGTCCTTCCTTAATGTGGAGGGTAAGATGTTCCCTGACCACCGAGAGTGTGACAGGCAGTCAAAGCAGAAGGGAAACAGCTTTACTTTTTTTGAGGGGGGGGGGCAGGAGGTGCATTTGTGGAAATACAGGCTTTCTGCTTTCCGGATTCATTTGTACGGATTCATTTCTTAGGCCACTCAGAACAAACTTTTTTTTGAGATTCTGCTCTGACCACGTCATTGGGTGTCATTTGCTTCCGCAAGGACCCCATGGGGCAATCTTCCCACTAGAGATTCAGGCCTTTTGGAGAAACAGCAGGTAAAGAGGATGGGACGCTTCCGTTGCCTTTCAAGTAATCTTGAGGGGAGACTTCTTGTGAGCACAGAGGAGAGTGACGTAGGGCACCCCAATGAATGCCCACTTCTCACTGGGCCAGAACTTGATGACGGGGCCTTGTTCGGGGATCTCAGAGACAGCATCAAAATAGGCAAAGCAGACACAGCCCAGGTAAGCTGCAATACAGATGAGGATGTGCCTGGAAAAGAGAGAAGCGAAAGGACTGAGGTTTTGCTTCAGTTTCAGGTCTTAGAAGACTGAATAATAGAGTTCGAAGGGACCTCAGAGATCATCTAGTCCAACCCCCTGCTAGAGCAGGAGACCCTGTATCAGGGGTATCAAACTAGATTTCTTCAAGGGCCGGATTAGCATTGTAGTTCTTCTCCACGGGCCAGCCAGCTTGGAGGGTGGGGGATGGGGGGACGGGGCAGCCTCCAGCAACTCCTGTAACGGTTCGTATGCTTCAGCTTCCAGCCCCCTTATCTTTTTTGTTGCTCCTCTCTGCATTGTTTCACAAGGAGGGGCAAC